ACCTACGCTCTGCGCGGAGTTGATGCAAGGTTGAAAGCGGGAGTGGGGTCGGGTGGAGAAAAAGCTTTGATTTGAAGGTGCACCACCGGCCCACCGTCGTCAGCAATAAGAGTTGTTCCCAGCAGCATCCGAATAAATGTTGACGTGGCCAAGCCAGCCGTGGACACTTGGCCACTGTGATTCAAAATTGTTTGTTGTTGAAAGCTTGTGCTGCAGAAGCTGCTTGATGCAAAAATTGGTTGGCACCACAGCTGCTTGGTGTAAATAGGTTGGCAAACCAGGCTTTTGGTAGCTGTCAAAGATCCTTTGTGGAAAAATGTTCAGCACAGAAGGCTCCTGGCGGTGAAATACCGTTGGCTCAAACACTTCTTTGCGGTTGTTGGTGTCAATGCCTTCTGGAAGGTGTCTTTTCTTGGACTTCACATAATTTTTGGTCCGCCTATAAATCGGTGTTTGATAAAGAAAGCGGTAAATATTTTTGTTGTTGAGCAGGCTCTTGGCGTTTAAATTGTTTTGTTTTGATGTTATTTCGTAGAAATGCTTGGTATTTGTATAGAAAATTATAGAAATGTACTTGGAAATTGTTTTTTAAAGTTATAACTATATATATATATATAAAACTATATATATATAACTACAAATTGATACATTGGGTATTGACAAATGAAACTATATAATACGAGATGCAGAAATATTCAAGGCGTTTTTTTTAATGGTGTCGGTTCATTCATATAGAGTCGTCCGTTTAAATGTGGATTTATATAATATGGTTTGTATCTATTTTGATATTGGTGCGTGGAATTCCGCTTGATGTTTCCCCAATGTGTTCACACTTGGGGTCTTCACGGTACTGGTTCAAGGCTTGGTGGATCGAAGGTGGGCGCATATGTGTTCGCCTTGTTTGGTGACCCTTGCAGCGTAAAAGTTCCTCAATCTTCCTTTTTCGCAGGAAACCTCACACGAAACGGTTCTAGAAGACCTCTATTGCCGTGTCCGTTTTAGGTGCAGCAGATGTGGCATTTTGGCATATTTTCGGAGGGTTAGAATGCGTGGCAGGCAAAGGGCGCAAGACATCGGGCACTTTTTCATTCACATGGCACGCGCGATATTTGTTGAACTTGGACGATGGTCTTTTCCAATGTGGTACTTGGTCATCATTTTGAGTGGCAGGTGCCATGCCTCAGGTGCGTTGTTATTTCGTAGCAGGTGCAGTACTTTTAGAGACTTCGACTAAAAAGTGATTGAAACCTGGGCTATATATCGTTTTTCAATGTTTTTCAGTTTTTTACATTTTGAGCCGAACTTTCGCTTTCGCGCAGTACTTGGTCAAATTCAAACATGGCCTTGCGCGCAGCCCTCTCATCACTTTGTGCGTGTCGGATCGCTCTCTTTGTGGCGGCGTGCTCAGTTTGATATAACGCTCGCGCGACCCTCTCATCACTCTGCCCTTGTTGGATTGTCTCGTTGTGGTGCGGGGCTCATTTTGACATCTCTCTCGCGACCTTCCCATCACTTTGCGTGTGTATGTGCATGTTGGATCGCTCTCGTTGTGGGGCGGTACTTTGCGCTACTTTACACACAGGCTCTGCTACGCAATCGCTTTTACACACAGCAAGCCTTTACACACAGGAAACTTTTGCGCGCCCGCGTTTTTTCACACAAAAACTTTCACACGCAGGAGCTTTTGCGCAAGCAAGCTTTTACGCGCAAACTTTTACACACCGAAGCTTTGACGCATAGGTGCCTTTGGACGCTTTTGCACTCAGGTGCTCTGGCAAATACTTTACGCACAGGCGCTGTTGCACCCGCGTTTTTACACAGAAGCTTTTGGGCACAAAAGGCTTGACACACCGAAGCGTTTACACAGAGAAGGCTCTACAAACAGATGGTTTTTAAACATTTGTATTTTCACACAAAAGCTTTGACGCACAGGCGCCCTTACAGACAACACGCAGAACCTTTTACACAGAATGTTTAGTTTGCACAGAATCACACAGATACTTTCACACAGAAAGCTTCTGCACTGACACACAGACAGCTTGTACAAAGCAATATTTACTTTTACACATACACACACACACAGAACCGTTTCCACACAGAGGCTTTTTACACACATACACACACACACACAACTTTTGCATACTTTTGCCAGAGGTGCTCTTGCAAGCGTAAGCTTTCACACTCAGGTGCCTTTACACACAGAAGTTTTTTTTGACACAGATGCTTTTCCATGCGTAACCTTTCACACACACAGACGCAGCACACAGACAGAGAAGCTTTTACACCAAAGAACTTTTGCACAGATGTTTCTACATAGATGCTCTCACACACAGAGTCTCAGAGCTTTTACGCAGAGAGCTTTTGCACCCAAAACCCGTTCAACACGCAAACAAACTTTTAGACGCAGGAGCTTTTACACACAAAAACTTTTTGCACACACACACAAACTTCTGACCCCAGTCCGGTGCAAGGATATTGCGCTTTTTCCTCCGTTTTCAGGATCGACGCGCGTTTCGTTCGTTCAGGGAATGGTCCATGAAGGAGAAACCAAATCGCGATTTTGCCTTAATTTGGACGATCGGCAGGCGTTTCGCGTGGGAAGGTCGGTTCGGCGCAAGACCTTTTTTTCTGCTGGCAGACGCGCGTTTTGTGCCTGAAAATTTCGCCGAGTCCCGTTTTACCTCAGTTTTTGACAATCGACATGTGTTTTGCGCAGGAAGGCTTCACCGAGCACTGGCCGAGCGCCAGAAAATCATATAATTATATTTTTTAAGCTACGGTTTTGATGATCGATGCGCGTCTCGCGCGGGAAGAATTCGTGTGCCGGCCGTATCGCTATTCTAGTGCAATTTTTGACGATCGACGTGCGTTTCGTGCGAGAAGGCGTCCGCCTACCCCGTCCCGCCGCTTGTGGAATATTTAAAGGATTCGAGATGCGCAGGTATTTTCGCCTAATCTATTCACCGGCACCTATTAGATGTGTCGGAATCAAAATGTACATGAGTTATCCATCACATCATTCACTCGATGACAGACAGATGCAGCTGAAGCTGTTTGCTAGTTGAAAACCTGATGATCAAATGCCGCAAGACCGCGGCCCAATTCCCAGTGCAAGTGAAGCCCTTAGGCAGTGTTCGTTCACCGAGAAGATTAGCATGGCCCCTGCATGTGCTCGACGTTTGCATGACCAGGTTCCGAAGATTGAATCCCAGGCATTGGAAAAGGGAAAGGCGGCAGCAGAGTCATGTTTGGTGCTGGGATCCCATGTTGTGCCTCATTTTGATTTGGTAGCGGAGCCCGTGTGTTCCGTAACAGGGTTGTGCTGCCATCTCCGAGTCTTGCTCTTCATGCTGTTGACCATGTTGCTAAGTGTGTCCGCACTCCTTGATTTGCCAATCATTGGTTTTGAATCTGCTGAATTTCGCACGGTGTCTCGAAATGAGAGCCTTCCTGAACTCACCAATGTGACAACCTGGATGCATCGTGCGAATCGTAGTGTTGATTCCAAAGCCATTACAGCCCTGCTTGACAATGTCTTGAGCAATGCAACCGACAAAGCCGAACGATCTGTTGAGCATAGGATCATGGAACTTCTGGGAACCGACATTTCGACCAGAGAAGTGTTTCAAATGCTGGCTCGTGAGCAGTTGATGGACGAAGAACAAACCAGACAGTATGAAGCATTGGACTTGCACGAATCCCTCATGAGTGGTGATCCTTTACCAGGTCGTCGCAACAGCAGTCACATGAGCATGATTGGGAGCAGCAGCACCCATGCTGAGAGCAGTCATGAGTCCAATGCCCAAGATGAATTCGGAAGATCTTTGATCGAGATCAATGAACAGGGTACTGACACCGATGGTCGTGAAGTGCCTGACATGAACTATGGTGTGGTTGTGGATCGCTTGCGTGTTTTTTGGAGTCATAATTTTCGCAACCGAATCACATTGAAGAGGACGCCATTTTTCTTTTTGTTCTGTGCAATTTCGCTGATGGGTATGCTGAGCTGTTTCGGGTGTATGATGCATCCTGGCCCAAGACCTCATCCACCCAGAAGCCATGCACATGTGGGGGACGCTGGTCCTCCATATGTGGGAACAGCCACTCTGAAAGTACCACCAGCATGGTCAGCAGAGCGTGCCCACTGGTACTCGCTTCGGGCCTGGCTGTCCGACCTGATTCTATGGTCGGCCAGCACAGATGTTGAACCCGCTCGACAAGGTCCAATAGCCGCCTTGCAAATCAGCGGGGCCGCGAGAGAGCTGGTCCGAGAAATTCCGCCCAATGTGTTGCAAAATGGACGTGTCGACCCCCAAACTGGAGCCCACACAGCAGGGCTCATGGTGCTTGCAGAGACCCTGATAACCAGATACGGCCCTCTGGAAGCTGAGATCAGCACGCGTGCCATCAGTGAACTCATCCATATCCGTCGCATGCAGCATGAACCGGTAGATGCCTTCTTAGTCCGTTTTGACGTGCTCAGGAACCGAGCTGCCAACCGAGCAGGAATGGCAGTCAACTACAATGGACTGAGCTGGATCTTGCTGAACGCGTTAGGAATAGGACCTGATCAGTGGGACTGACTCCTTTTCCACAATGACGGTCGTCTTCCAGAGAATCAGGATGAGTTTAATTTGCTGACTGACCGCATTCGACGAACAGGACACCTGCACGAAGGTAACATGTTTCATAGAGGTCAAGGTGCCACTGGTGATACTGGTCAGTACTTTCAACAAACTGAGCCTTTGTTGGGAGCCACATACTTTCCTACCTTCACCGGAAACGCAAACATGGAAGGTGCAAATCCTTTCCGCCCTGATGCAACCAGTCCATTCGCGTCCATGCAGTCATTCCTCGGGAGCGCGTCCGCACCATTGGCGCCTGGAGCGTCAGCCAGTAGCAGCACAGGTCTTGACCGAGTCGTAGGTGCTAATGCCAATCATTCATCAGCATTTGTTTCCGACGCAGACATGTGTTGCCAGACTTGCGGAATGTTCTTTGAAGATGAGGATCTTTCGTCAGCAACCGACACAGATGATGGTGAGTTTGATCCGGAGGCAGCCAGTTCTTATCAGTACATCAGCATAGATGGACAGACCCGTTCGGATGATTGTGCCTTGGGTAACGCAATCTATTACGATTACCTGGTGGCCAAAAGGCGTTGGCGAAGATTCAGCGGACGTCCCCCCAGAAGATACCGAAGATTCACCAACAGACAGGATGTTCGCAACAGACAACGCCATCGTTTGTCCAACGGTCCTTACTCCAACACCTTTGCCAGCTTTTTGCCATCAGGTGCTTTTGCCGGAGGACAAGGCAAGGGCCATGGTAAAGGAAAAGGAAAGCTTACCCATAAGAATCCCAGAGGCAAGGATGGCAAAGTGTTGTTGTGCGCCAAATGCGGGTCAGATTCCCATCTATGGCGACAGTGCCCAAGAGGTTCAGGTCAGAGCGGACCAAACACTGGGTCACCACCATCAATGGCCATGTTGACACATGTTTTGCCTGGAGTCTCATTTAACTATGTTTCGGGGAATGCCGGTGCTGAAAATCGAAGCCAGGGCACTGTGGAAGAATATCACATTGCCACTCGTTCTGGATCACGTCGTAGCAGTGCCGTGTTTGATGCCGAATTAGAGAGTCTTCGTAGTGTGGCCACCAGCAGTTCACGTGATCGTAGGCAAGGTACTGAATCATCAAGAAGCTCACAGAAGAGGAACACCGATAATGCAGGTCTCAATGATGATTCTGATGCAGGCAGTGTCCCACAGAAGCCATTCGAGCCTTCAAAAGCTATGTCTCAGTCGTCAGTTGTCTTGTCAGCCTCTGTAGATGCATTCATGCGTGGTCAGACAGTTAGTCAGCAATCTGGGCAGTCGTCCAGCGCGTTTGGTAACCAGTCTATGTACCCATTTGTGTTTGCGCAGGGTGCTGATTCGTTGAGTTTCCATCCGTCCTCCAACGCGTCGCATTCCGAACTGCCAGCAGCTGAAGTGACTCGTGCTGAATCTGTGCATTCCACCTCCGGAGAAGCAGCGCGAACTAGTCAGGATGTTCCAGTTGAGAGTATTGTCCCCGCTCAGGTGACGCCAGACCGATCAACAACGGAATTTTTGTCAGTTGCAGCCAGTCCATCAACGGTGTATGGATCACCCATCTCAGAAGTACCTGCGAAGGCCACTCCACCTAAGAAAAGGCTGGTACTCAGTGACTTGCTTGGTGATTATCCGTGGTGGGAAGCTACGACCAGTCCTGCTGAGAAGTCAAGTGATCCTGTGTCATATCACGCTCGCACTCGCATTGCTGGACAAGTGGGTCTACTTGTAGATCCCGGTGCGCATGATAATTTGATTGGAAGTGAGACTTGTGAACTCATGGAACAACAACTCAACACCAAGTCCGCCACCAAACGATTGAATAGGCCATTGGTAGTGTCTGGTGTTGGGAAATCTTCCCAGGAGGCCGAGACATCTGCAACTTTGGATTGTGCGTATCGTACCATGGATGATCGAGTGTTGGCAGGATCATATACAGCTCCAGTTGTGCCCAACAGCTCGTTACCACCATTGCTGGGGCTAAAATCTCTGAGGTCAAAGGGGGCAATAGTGGACACAAAGACGCCTGCGCTAATTCTCCCAGGGCCAGGAGGACTTGAATTCCGACTGAGCCCAGGCTCGCAGGTACACAAGCTAGAGTTGTCGGACTCAGGACACCTCATTTTGCCAATCAGCTCGTCAAATGCCGCAAGCACGAATCAGAATTCAAGAGTTGACGACACCAGACTGGAATTTGCAATGCAGTGTCGTCAGAACCGTAGCCGATCACAAAGTCGTAGTTGTAGTGCAAGCCCTCGGCGTGAAGCTCAGTAGACGTTGTCGGTGTGACATCCAAGGCATCGTTAACTTCCAAGCATGTTGATAAGTCGCCACCTATCAGCCATTCCGAACCCAAACCTTGTGCGTTAATTCACCAGTGGTACCATCCGACAGCAGCAGTGCCGGGTAGCTACAGTCCGCTTGTTTGGGTATTAAGTGATGTTCAAGGTGTTAGACAACATGTGTTTTTGGAACTTGGATGTCGTGTAGTTAGCATCTGGTTTGGTTTACACTCAAAGGGACAACTTCATTCCATGATGAACTCATTAGAATCACAAAGGCCAAGTCTCCTTTGGGTCCGGTTGCATGGTCCGTGCACAGGATCAGGAAACCGCCATGATGCTTCTAGGGCTGAAAACCTGAGCCAGCTGATTCACCGACAAAATAGCCTAGGGGGGAGGGTAGTGCTAGAAGCAAACGTAAGAAGCAACGCTTGGAACATGCAAGCGTTGAAGTCCATCATTGACCAATACACATGTAGCCTGCACAGAGCCTGCCGATATAGATTACAACCGCCGTGTAGCGCGGTAGTGCAGGTTGTTTCAAATTTCAGTTTGCAATCCAGAGCAGACTGTGTTTGTCCGTCTTCACGAGACCATGTGTTTTGGAAAACAATGCCAGGCGATGTGCAACTTGAACTGATGAACACCATTGTTCGAGCCATTGCGTCAGAAAGCCTGAAGCCTAGTACAGTGCCATCATCGTTAAACCTTGGAGGCAGCGGAGATAGGCAACCTGAATCAAAGAATTCGTCACAAGGCATTTTGCCAATCCATGAATCAGAGGAGAATCCATTGCTTCGCACATCCTCATTGCACTCAGTAACCCAAATCGCAGAAAACGCATCCCAAATACCACCATCTAGTTCGAAGGACAGTAGAGACAGATCAGATCAAGTGAAAACCCGTGCAGAAATGTTTCGTTCGGTGCCATTGTTTCGATGTTCGGAATATCAACCAAGGGATAATAGTATTAAAGCTATATCACAGCTATCATCAACCAACTCCATTCCAACGAGTTTTCAAGTAGGTCATAATGATTTGCTCGCCGAGTCCAATTTTGGTTTTCAGAGCTGCGGAAGCAAAAATGTCCAAAAGACGGTGAGTTTTCCTACTGAAGAAGCGGAGAAAGCCAAGCTGCGGAAGAAGGCAGGTCATGTGCCGGTGAAACGTGCCAAGGAAATTGAAATTCACCATGATGATTGCGGTGAAGATTTATCCAGTCTTGAGCCGTTTCTTTTCAAGATGGATCATCTTGAGAAGTTGGACTCTGAGCTAGAATTACTCCAAGAATCCTACGAGAATGAAATATTTGGATTTATCACATGTGCCAGCTTCTCAGATGAACCAAATAAGCAGGCATCAAAGTTTCTTGACATGCATTCTTTCCTGACCACTGTAAGCGCTTGGCCGGACTACGACTGCGTTGACGTAGTCGAGATGTTTGGAGGAAATGGAACCACTTCCAGAATTCTTGCAAAGCGTTACTGTTTGCGCACAGGTCAGAACTTTGAAGCCACTGCAGGTTTTGACTTGACGCGTCAAGCTGACGTGCAATCATTCTGGAGATACATGCAAAATACCAACCCCTATGTAGTAATCATGGCGCCTCCCTGTGGAGGTTTTGGACCGTGGGCAAGACTTAACAGGTTGATATATCCAGAAGCCTATCACAGAACTCATGAAATTGGTATGCAGCTTGCCCGTCTGTGTGCACAAGTGGCGACGTTTCAGGTTAAACATGGTCGTCACTATGTGGTCGAACAACCACAGGGCAGCGCAATGTTTCAGATGACGGAATGGATTCAGATTTTAAAGCACTCCCACCAGTGCTGTTTTGATCAGTGTCAGGTAGGACTTCACGAAAGTAAGAAACCTTTTCTTCCTTTGCTCAAGCCCACGGATATGAGATCCTCACACCCAAGCATGTTGAGACACTTGCACGGCAGGCGTTGCCATGGGCAACATGCTGTGCATGGCAAGGTAACAATGACCTCTCAGGTTTGGCCTCGTAAACTTTGCGCTCTATTGGCTAGAGGTGTTGCAGAAGCCTTGCACGAAGACAGCTCAGAATACTTCCCAACGTATAGTTGTCCTGGGTGTAAGGGTCATGTTCGCAGCAGTGATCCACGGCATACTAGAGACGAAAATTGCAAGCATCCAAATGTAGAAACAATTATTTGGGATTGTGCCGGCTGTAAGGCCCATCGTCATAGGTCACATGAATCTCACACCTTTGGTCCAGATTGCCAGTGGGCGATCGTGAGTTCAAGATCGTCCGGAGCCAGAAGGCCAAGGCAGGGTCATCACCCCCGCGATCCTGTCATTAAGGCATCCTCTGAACCAACAGGGTCATTGCGCCTGGATCCTCCCAGCGTGGCCGTTACAGCCAGACCTGAAGATGTGAGTGCTGAGCCAATTCCTGATAATAAGCGCCCAATATCAGACAGTCCCATTGAACCTGAAAGACTTACTGTTGAAGAAGCTGATCAACGCCGCAAAGACAAGGGTGAACGACCTTTGTCAACAAAAAAGGTCAGCATTTCAACCCAAGCCGGCGGCGGTGTCATTGTTCCTGCATCGGCGTCAGCTGTTGAAGAAGCTGAAATAGTGGAGCCAAGTTGGAGCAAACATGATCTTGGTGCCGTCCTGCAACAGCTCAACAGCATCAGGCCTGGAATTGTTCGTCGTGCCTTGCGACGGTTGCAT